AGAGAATTAATTACTCTCAACAAATTTGAGCTAAAATACCAATTTTTTTCCCTCGACTACTAAAAATTAACCGTATTTTAATGGCTATTTCCTTTATTTCCAGGCAGAGGACTTTTAAGCGAACTCGCTTTTCATGACGGGGTGTATAGAGTTGAGGTTCCTGGAAAGGAAAGTCGCACACTGCCTGCCAGGTAGATACTATTCCAACTGAGAATTTTGACAAGTTTAAATATGCGGATCGGTTTTAAGGGAACCGCATTGTTCTTTCAGTCTTTCTAGACTTGATAGAAATGATGTAGAAAGGTGTACATTAGGAGATTGTCTCTTACTTAAGATTGTTCGTCTCCGAAAGCGCCTTCCTTGAAGTTTCCTTTTAACAGTGTTTTTAGTTTTACGCATGCATCCATGTAAAGGTGCGATTTAGGGCTCTGTCTGCAAATTTACAGAATGAAATAGATTCAGTTAAGTATCTCCTTTGTATTATAATGGAATGAGGAAATTTTCTGTGCACGTGGGTTTTATTTTTGACGGAATTAATTAAAAAGGTAGCTAGATGAGTGAATTCCCATTTTCGCGAAAGCGAGTGGCAACCACGACTTGTAGAGAAGCACAATAGAAAACGAGACGATAGCAATGCGAAAAGATTTTAATGGCAGAAAAACAGCTCTGCATTTGCGTTTTAAACTTTGTGCATTTTCTCGCCATCCTTTGGCAAACAAACAGCGAGAAAATGCCAAAGTTTTAATGGTCTGAAAACGGAAACCGCGATGGCAGACTATTTTTGCCTCGATTTCGAACTGAACGCTGTCCTGAAAGAAGAAGTTTGGCGCCGTCGGTTAAGATGTCTAGTCATGCGCTTAACTCTGAGGGCAAATGTGAATTTATTTTTTAAACAACATTTCCTTTTGCGTCGCCGTCGGGGCGTCCTTATAAATATTTTTTCATTGTTATGTGGAGGTTACGGAGAGTGCGTCCATTTAATTCGAGTGGGCTTCCATATTCACTTCCGTTATATTTCGCCTTCTTGAAGTAACCTTTTCCCCTATCGCTGAAAGGAGTGCCAGCTAATAATCACGTCGGAAAAAAAAAATTCATGTTCGTGCTCACTCTAAACCACGCACAAACATTTCAGTTTGAATGCTTCCTGATTCATCATAAAAAAACGTGTTCACTTGGCCTCGCGGAAGTTTGTCATCATAGCTAAAACAGGTTCACGGCTTTTGTTTTTAGCGTTTATTATGTCATCCTTGCTATTGCCAGCCAATACTTCTAGCATTTTTCCGTGTTTCTGTTGGTCGTGCGCTCAACCACGTATCAGTATCCAAAGTATAGCTGTATACTGGTTTGTTTTGTTCTTCCGGTCGCCAACGAGCGACCAAATTTTTTCGCTTGCTCACTGTCATGATTCCATAACGCTAGATGTGTCGACCCAGACCAAAAAAAAGAACTCATGTTCTTGACTTTCCTTCAAAAACCGCACCTGGATTAAGCCTCTCATTGCTTATACAGAAGGAAGTTCTTTGTTGAAGCTGGTTCGAAACGATAATGTAAAATTTTTATCTTAGTGAAATGCGATTACTGCGATTATTACTCTAATTAGAGCTTAGAACATTCCTCTAGCGGTTCCAAAGTCACTGAACCGTCAACTTAAAACAAAATAATGATTCCACTTTTTTCCATAATTTTCCTGTTTTCATGGAAGTGAAATCAATTTCTATTAATTCGAGGAAATACGCTTAAATGTGAAGTCATCATTTTGTATCATCTCATCTCGAAACAACCACCAAACACATGGTCGTTCTTTTTGGTTTTTCAATGAGGATTCGTTAGACTTTTTTATTGGTTTAGTTTTGTTCCTCGTTTCTGAAATCGTGCCTATTAATTTTGGTTTATCTGGGGAAGATAATCAATTCGTTAAGTTATTTTTTTCATCGTTTTCGAAGTGCGTCTTTGAATTTCAAGCCAATCACTGTCAAACGAACTGAACCGTTGCCAAGATGCAGATTTAATCCAACGTCAAGAGAAGTAAAGCTGTCAGAGTTTCCTTTGAAGAAGGAAAAAGAGTTCGTTTTAGCAGGTCGAATTTATCACTTCCTGAATCCTTAAATTCTTAAATCCTTGTGAATACATATTTTTATTTGCGTTGGCGGTTTGTAGATTCAGTAGCCTTAGTTTGGTCGAGCCACTTTATTTCCGGTGCGGTAAGAAACCGAACCTCGAAGTCCCCGAGTAACGCTTATTTATGAATTTTAATGAAACAACTTGATAGGGTTAAATCATGACGTCAGGGGAGCGTCATAGGCCAATAATAACTCTGATTTTACCTATTTTCTCACCTATCCTACGGGCTCTCACAGATTACGAACAGGTTTTAATTTTAGTGTAAAATCGGCTTAAAGCAACGGCTATTAATCTCTATTGAAAAAGTTACCTCGATACGCGGAAAATTGATTTTGAACATTTTGTTATTTAGACGCCTCAAAGAGGTAATTAGTAGCTGAGGAGTGAGGATAGTCGCCAACGACTCTACAGAAAAATTTATAGGTTTAGTTTTTTTTTTTCTGTGGGTCTACTGAGCTTGACTTCTGCTGCCCTCTTGAGTGCGGTCCACGCGGGCTCATTTCCCCGAACAGCGGATTAGCTACTCAACACAACAGGGTGTTGGTCACACTATAGAAACCTCAGGAAGTTTTTTCTGCAGATGTTCCTCATGTGTTGTAAGACACATGCGTTGATCGTACATTGCACCCTTACAGACATGTGACATTCCAGTCTTGGGCCAATACATTTGTACATTCAGCGAGATCTATGTGCTCAACTCACTTATGGAGTAAAATGAAACCACGTCCACTCGGTATCCAAAATAATAAAACGCCTGACATTTTTTTGGTCGAAAAATTCCGGAATGTAATATTTATCTTGTATTCCTTGGGTCAAGGGTAAAAGCTTTGCGTTGGAATCAAAATGATTAAATTACTCCGTCATGTGCGCGCGCGTTTGTCTGATCGCATGATGTTTATAAAAAAAAACTATTATTACCAAAAATCCTTGATCGTCATGTGGTTTCCATATTTAAGTTAAGTTCAGGTTTGCATCTAAACCACATGATAGATTTTTGAGGGCAGAATTCCTGTTTTGTTTCCGAAAGATTGGCCTGCCTCGAAAGGGTCATTACTGCACTTGCATGAGGTTTACTTTGAACAACATATTATATTTCCAGAACAATGGCTTATTTGCCAACTTTCGTCTGTCGGCACTTAGGGCCAGTTTTGCGTGACGACTTCTCGGTAAATCGGAAGTTCAATGTCCGCTCTCGTGGGAAACACGGGCACAAAACTATCTTTCGTTTTGTCAGCCAGATATTATCTTTCATAGTATCGTGTTCGCGCGTTGTCGAGCGTAACATTAGAAGCTCTGTATAGACTTACATATTCACAGTCCTTAGGGAGAAATTTTCTTTCCTTTTCCCGTGAAATTCCGTCTTCCTAAATACTGACTGTCAAAAGTAAATTAGAAAACTTGATTGCTTCCTTGTTGTTACAGATCTCTAATTTTCGAAAACCGGAATCTCGGAAGGTTTTTTTTTTCGTGAATACGATTATTTTTACTTTACAAAGACCGTAACGTGGCACGATTTGACATTCCTTTCTTTGCGCATGCTCATTTCTGCTCTTTGCTCATTCATTTGTGGGTTCAGTTGAAACAAAGATGAACTATAAATATTGCCGATGACCTGTTGTGTAATACACTGTCGACTAGGACGCCTTTTATAATAAACTCTGAATGAGAAATATTGCGTATTTGATGCGGTGGAAAAAAGAACCGTAACGAAAATCCACTTCGGCGCTATAACACGAAACTCGTGTGTAATGCCGTCTGGTCCGAAACGCTTCCTCAAGGGAATTTGATCTGAATTTGCATGTTCAAATTACCTAGAATAAAGTGTAAACACGCCATAGATGATTCAAATTCTTTCCTTATGACAGTCAATATTGCTCAATCTCTGTCAAGAGATCAAGTGACGCCATCACTGACAAAAGAATTATTCATTGCTAAACAGGATTTGTTTCAAATGCAATTTATTGTATCCGGCGTCAAAGCGCTCAACCATACAAAGGTGCGCATAATAACGACCTTTCATTTTCCGGAAAGAATGCTTATGTAAACTAAGCCAAGAGCTTGTGGTTTTTTTGTAATCGTTTCTCTCTTGCCTGGGGTTGGTAGCCGTGGAAATACTTACGTCATCCAATTGAATTCTATACATAATTTACATGCGTAAGTGCTTTTTTGTTTCGCGGAACACGCTGAAACAACACTTCCCTTGTCTTATTCCTGTGTTGCTTATAACACTTCGCATGACACTCTCTCACTGGATTTTATTTTCGTAACGTAAAATTTCCTTTTCCAGGAGCTAATTGTCTTTCCTCTGCTAGGACAGATATTTTTCTTCTCAAATTCGTTGTCAAGTCACGGCGGAAATGAGCTGTAGGTCAGGTGATCACATGCTACGCAGACAAAAAAAATTGAATATTCAATTTGTTGTCGGCGTTTTAGAACCTAAATTGAGCAGTTGTTTGGGCTGAAAATTCGTGTATAATTCGATTTCGAGATCGTGTCTGTACAGTAAATAAACTTTTCCGATTTTTTTACTCCCGCGGGATTAGTTCTGGTGTCGAAGTATTTCGTAATTTATCCGTCTCTGACACGACACGCCCTGTGAATTTAGTCCATCATGACTGCAGTGACGTCACAGGAAGTGTGTGAGTTCACTCATTGTTTTGACGTATTACCTTAGTGCGCGGCTCGGTCACTGATATGTTAATTTCACAACGAACCTAAATTTAGACTTTAGAGAGCTCGGGGGGTGATCGAATTTCGCGTCACATATTTATTTGATGGCAATTGTTTCAACTCGTTTCTTCGTTTCGCCTAGAAGAGTTCTGGGTCATTCTGTAGGGAATTTTGCGAGAAGGAATCCTCTTCGATTTAGTAGATTTACGGCGAGGATTTTTTTTTAACCAACACACGTGCCGTGGATAACGTTTCAATTGCAACATCGTGAAGGCAGACTGTCATCTTCATATTTCTCGGTAGCGCTCGTGATGGAAGAAGGAACTGGATAAACCTGACAGGAAATTTCACGTTTGTTGGGTAGAGGACTGTAGTTTCGTTTACTACTGAAGAGTGTTCGCGGAAAACGACCGTAAATTTTGATTCTGGTGAACAGTTGTGCGCGAAATGACGACTAACCCCCGCTTTCATCGACAACACTGTTTCTTATGCGATCTTCCGCACTCACCGTGGGCAATTCTACAAGATTTCAGCGAACCTGTTTGTCGTGGTTGTTGTAATTACGAGGGGCCTGATCGAATTGAGGATGTGATACATTATTCGAGAATTTTAAGACGAACATGGGAAAATAACGAGTTAGCGCACAGAAATCGGGGAGTGAAAACTGAGCGCTTGAATTCAGCGGGTTCATCTATATCTTCCACTCCGAGTCCGCCACCCGCCAACGGTACTAACTATACGGCGCAGTATTCAGAGCAAAGGAAAGGAGTTGGGAAACATCAGAATGCTACCAGGCATGGCGAGGAAGGCATGGAAAATTCTCATGGGCACGGGAGTGGCGAAGCTGTCAACGGACCTGGCTCGAAAGCAAATCGACCTCCAGGAAATATTGGTTCTCGCGAAATGGAAAGACGAGGGTCTAGTTTCAACATGGAAGACGCTAGGCATTCGCTGCCAAACGGAAATGCGTTACAAAGACATCATCCCCCCTTGACCCCAAACGGACCTCAGCAGAATTTTGTCGTCGATGGGCCACGGTTGGAACTTATACGGGAAACACTAACCACTCTGAACAGGTCTTGTCCATTTGATATCAGATTCAAGAAAGATCATGGTTATGTCGGTCGCGTGTTTGCTTTCGACCTTAGCTGTAAGCCTGGGGTTGACTACGAACTCAAAATCTTCATCGAGTACCCTCGAGGCTCTGGTTGCGTTTTTCAAAGCGCATCTGGAGTCGCCAAGCAGATGTACACAGAATCTTTGAAGGAAATTGCAAAGCCACTTTCCTCTGGGTTCAAGTATTTAGAGTACGAGAAAGATCGCTCCAAAGGAGAATGGCGTTTACTGGGAGAATTTCTTCCTGAACCGGTGCGATTGTTCAAGGAAGCTGTCAATCCCGAATTTCTCGCCAAACCTCAGCTTGATGCAGAATTTCCAGTTCTACCCAATGTGAATCTCAGCTTCAACCGGTCCGGCCCCCAGTATGGGCGAAAGCGAAAAGGTGCAATTGATTTAGAAGAATTTGAAGTAGCAGCTGGAAAACGTGCTGGAGCCATGCATGGGCGCATGACTCGGGATGATGCCTTACATAGTGTTTGGGTGCAAAACCAAACAGCTGATGGTGTCAAACTACCAGTTCATTTACCAGGGACACCACTGCCCCCAGGGACCCCAGTCAGTTCCATACCATCTGCCTCAGTTCCACCGATGGTGTCACTGGCAGTCTCAAAGGGTGCACCAAGCCTGGCAGTGTCTGAACATGCCCGTACACAAGTGAAATCTCCCATGGGCACCATGATGAATCGATTTGAATTACCACCCACCTCAGTGCTACGTGAAGATTCAAGGAATGGTCCAAATACCCTTGTGGCTGGTTCACCTGGCAGTGAGCGGTTGTCACCACGCCCACATCAATCACCTAGACCCTTACCTAGCTCTGGTGGAGCTAAAGGCCCAGATGCAGCAGAAGGTGACATGAAGGGAAGGAGCTCCACAGTGAATATTCTGACTTGCAGTCTTTGTCGTGACAAGCTTGAAGACACCCACTTTGTGCAGTGCCCATCTGTTGCTCACCATAAATTCTGTTTCCCTTGTTCACGTGACAGTATCAAGAAGCAAGGAGCTGGCTCAGAAGTTTTCTGTCCAAGTGGAGAGAGATGCCCATTACAAGGCAGTGATTTGCCTTGGGCATTCATGCAAGGAGAAATTGCGACCATTCTTGGAACTGAATACACTGTAAAAAAGGAAAAAGAAACATAGAGAAAGGGTGGAATTTCTTTCCTGCCATAGCAGTAACAAATTTAGTGGCTAATCTGAAACATTACTTTTGTGTAGCTCTTATGAACTTGTTTCTTGTGTATTATGTATGGTAAAAGTTGCCTCAATTACCTGCACAAAATTTTTCATGTGAGAAGTTTTATTAATTTGCTTCCAAGAAGATTTCCTGACAATTTATAAAACATTTTGTGAAATGGTGTTTTTATAGTAAACTGATAATTTAGGAAGTTTTTCATAGCACATCTAATGTCTGGAAGTAACCAGCTTGCTCTTCTCCCTATGTTTTCAATGCATATTCCAGCAAGCAGACCATGGGAATAGACAAACTTGTGATCTGGAGGGTGTTATTAAGCAAAATGTCAGATTCTTTTGTCTAAAGCTTACAGGAAAATGTATTATTCGTAGGGAGATTTGCAAATCGCATCTAAATAGCAGAAGGTTCAAGAATAACAGCTGTATGTTAGAGTTCTATATAGTTAAGGCCAAGGACACTGTGTATTTGTGGAAGTTGGGGGTTTTGCATTAGTCTAAGGAACCTTTCTGTGTAGAATTCAAAGTTGTGAATGTAATGTGCAGGATTTTTGGAAAATTCTCTGATTTTGCAAAATATTTGCATAAGGCAAGATGAGGTTAATTTTTCCATCGTGAAATGTGGTAGAGAATTGTTTGCTTTGACTGATGCGCTACTGTATTTTAATTTAAGAATTGTGCAACATCAACATTGCACTGGCATTCCTTCTAATATTTTGCTACCTTAAAATGTGCATGGTTAAGTCCAAAGGTGTGAGACACTTATCAGGTAGAATAGTTATTGCTGTCAAAAGAATACTCTAGGCAACATATAGATATTATTTTCCAGAATTCTTGTATAAATGTGTAGCTTCTGATTAGCAAGTTGCTTTTGTTTATTCAAGGGTAGCTGGTCATTTCTGTAATGTTAATATTTAAGAATATGATCATTGGAACTTAAAACTTGAGACTTTGTGAATAGAATTCTCTTCAAAGGTGGGATTTTTCAAACCAAAAAGAAAACCTGTAAATAGACACATCTACTCTTTTCCCTATTCTCTTAGCTGTTCTGTGATCTTTCAGTACACAGGAAAGTTTAGGTACATTTTTAAAAACTGTTTGACATCTTGCAAAATCCATAGTTTCAAGAGTGGATTGCAATCCTGAAAACAATTTTAAAAATGTAGTGATGGACTGCCTGTGAATGTAAGTTTGTGTGCAAAAAATATCGCATTGATTTTAAAATACAAAGTTGTGGTCATTAAAGCTTGTGTTTGAAAGTTTGATGCCTGAGTAGTTTTAACCATAGGTGAAAGGGATGTGACTGAATTTGGTTGATTATGTACAACACAGCTGTTAAAAACCCTTTTCAGTGGTCACCCTCTGGAAATAGCCAGATGTTGCTTGATAGCTGTCAACGTTTTTAATTTAGGTTGCCCAATTTTTGGTGTATATTGTGCAAATCAATATATAAGAGAGAATTAATCTCACAACTTAGATCTTTGGGATATGAAATATTTGTATATGTATACATGTCGGCCATCAGATGTTTGAAAGGCATGCTTCTCTTCAGCAACCACTTCTGGCCTTCTGCTTCCACTCAACAGCCTTCCCCCCTCTTTTTTTTGTTAATTATTCTGCCAAGGGAAATGATTTGTTTGGAGGGGGGGCACCAAAGGATTCCCCACAAGGTTTGCATGCCTAGTACTTGTGGTTAGAGCCTTACCACAGCGAGAATTTATCTTAATTCATTTTTAAGGAATTGAATCTCTAAAATAGATTTTGAAATTTGGATTGAAGAGCTTTAGTCTTTTTTGTGGTTGACTTCTCTCCCTATTTTCTTTTTTCCTTTTATTTTTATTCAGTGGTGACTCTCTTCCACCTAGACCAGAGACAGCCATGTTGTCAAGTGATGTTGGAAAAATTAAAACTGACTTAAAGGACATTCTGGCTGTAAGTTAAGGAAGAACTTGCTCTCTCATTTAACTTATGTAGACTTGGACTTGGACCCCGCTACAGCAATCTTGACATCATACTGAAAAGAGGGCAGATTGCTCTTGTCACTGTGACACTCCAAAACATGATGACTGTGCTTGTTATATTTTTATTTTGGTTACAAATAGCAAATGAGGATTTCAGCCTCCTTGCTCACAGTGATCTGGGCCATAATTCACTAGGGAGAAGTTGTCAAACATCAACAAATTCACTCCTTTCTCCTCAAAGCATTGAGTACTGCTTTTGATTTACAAACTACAGCTCATAACTTCTTTTCAGTTTCCAGTTTGTACTTCCGCTCTGAGTCAGTCTTTATATCAGTATTCTATAACTAGTCATTCAATCTTCTTATATGATATTGGTCAAATATCGATTGATGCAGGAGACAGAGAGACTTAAACAAGAGCTGACTAAACAACAGCTAGTCAAGGTAAATAGCAATCGTTGAGTTGACTCCTCTGTCTGCAAGTTCTCCATTCTGTTCTCTATACATTTTCTAAGGTTCTAACAAGGAGAATTTGTCTAACAATCTAGAGCTTCTTGAGTTGAGGATCATTTACTGCATTCTCATGACATTAATGTTTCAGGGGTAATACTGTTGGGAGAGATTAGATGCTTATCATTCTTAGGGGTTAGAGGTATACATTTACTAGTTGTACGCATATCATAAGAATTGTTTTCTTTCTTACTGTTGTCTTAAAGTAAAAGTATGGCTACAAATTGAAAGTAACATGTAGTCTATCTGAAAAGAATGAGGAGTTAGTGACCGTTTGTGTGTTCCACTTTTGGTCATGTTGAAATAACTCCAATGATATTTCAAAACATATACATATAGGGTGACGCAAACTCTGGTGTGCTGCACGTTGGACCTCTTGGTGATGGTCCTTCACCTCTAGATGAATATTTGGTAAGAATTTATTATTATATGATAGTTTTAAAAAAATTAAGAAGTCAAATAACATTGATTTGATGAGGAATATGTGAAATCACATAGATTAATTCGCTGGTCATTTGCTGCATAATTGTTGCTGACACATTTGTTTGAGGGATTAACACATTACATGTGGATAACTTTATGTAAATCTGGGGCTATGTTTGGATGGTTTTATGTAATTTCATGTGAGTGGCTGTTGTTGTAATTTGTAGCAATCATATCCAAGCAATAAAGTGAACATTACATGGTGTGCAGAAAATCTTAGTTTTATGTGCTTGGACAAAGCAAACTCTCTATGAGTAACAGCTTCTGTTCATCATTAGTAACAATCAGTCAACATGTTTCTTTTTTATATATTCCATGATTTCTACTAACTGAAGCCTAACTAGTGCTCAGGCCTCAAAAATATTTTGTCACATTTCACCATAAATCTCATGGAGACTGTTATGTAAACCATACCAGCTGTTATCTCATGGTTCTCCCCTGCCTCAGAAAAAATTGAGGGGCTATGAATGTACAGCTTTAAGACTGAATATCCTATTGTATCATTTGATAGGAAACCACTCATAAATCACACCCACTAAGAAAACCTGTGACATCAAGACCATCAGGTAATTCTTGAGTGTCTTACATTACACTTTGCTTGATTTCTGACTGCTTATTTGAAGTGTCTGAGGCTTAATGGTTGGAGGAAACTGAGTGAGAGAAAGATATAATGAAAATCAAGTGACCTGTTTCCCCAGAAAATTCTCACCTTTAATGGCTGAGGAAAGCTAATTTTTTAGTGGGAATGTTATTGTAACTGAAGACCCTTGCCATGCCTTTTAGAGTCCTATTTGTTTTACAATTTGTATAAAAATTAGTCATTATGAAGTGTTTGTAAAAATGAAAGACCTCAATAGAACTCCTCTTCCTCTTCAATGTAGCAATTTACCAAACTGCCTCTTCTAACGTTTTCTAAGGAATTCTTCCATATACATTTAGCTTATATCTATAATATCTATAATATTGGTCATTTATTTCCATCACAGGCTTTCTGCCATCAAAGTCAGCACACTACTTAGCTGATGCAGAACGCCTCCTCCAAGATGTTCAATATCGACGGCGAAATCTGGACAACAATTTACAGACTCTGATAAGACAAAGAGAAGAACTTGATTTGTATAATTTTGTGGATAACATTCCTTCATCTGATGGGTAAGAGCAAAACAGCTTTGAAGTAATGCAATGTCAAGTAAATGCTTAGCATTTTAGTTCTGTAATAGCAATGTGACTTGTTGTGTAGTCAAACTGTATTTGCTCTATCATCAATGTAATGAAGTTGAGAACTTGCATATGAATTTAGGTCACTGAAGATTGATCCCTTTACACCCTAACATCAGTATGTATATTCCCAATACTGTTATGAGCACATTTTTTAAGGTGCTGACAAGGAGAAATTATTTCTGTTGTTGTTGATCATTTCCTTTATTCTCACAACCTTAATGTTTGATTCAGGGGTGATATTGTAAGGAGAATTTAGATGCTTGTTAAACTAAGGGGTGAAAGGATCAAAGCCAATTGTGGAATGATTAATTTTTTGCAGAGAGTCTGATGAAATGCTGAGAATAAGAAGAGAAGTGGATAAAAAGATAAAAGAGATGAACTCTGCAGTGCAGGTAAATTTTACTGGTAGTTCCTTGGTAAACCCTTTAACTCCCATGATCTGATTGTTAACTCTCCCCTCTAGCTGCTACACATTTCCTTGTAAAGTAGCTGGGAGAATTTGGTGTTAGATCAAGATAGCAGCTTTTACCTAATAAGTTTGAATATTCTTATTACCTTTTTGCTGGATAATGAATGGATATTATAGGGAGAAGTAATATGTTAATCACTTCTGGGAGTCAAAGGGTTATTGAAGGATTTCCCTCTTTATTTCTTATTTTTGCATGTTACAGAAGGACCCTGTTATTTCAAAGGAACCACAAAACATTATATTAGTGGCTTGATTTATTTTTTAAAGGAAATCAAGTGTGCTGCATTCTTGTATAATGGACATTCATTCAAAAATCTGAAGTGTTTGGTTGTAGAGACCTGTCAATGCGACTCATCTACTTGTGCTCACCATTCCATTTTTTACTTTGCATTGATGCTGTTAACAACCATTAAATATGTGAATCTTAACCTGATCTAGTGTTATAATTCTGTTAGGCAGAGCATTTAGTAGCCCAGCAAAGATTATAACCTGACCTCAAAACATTTTACTCAGCATTCCTCATGACACATTGCCTGCCATTTTGGAAACCCTTATTATTTGTAAGAAAGTGTGTCAAAAATATGTTTTGGTTAAGTTGCTATTGTGAAATTGAGATTTAATTGGGAAAGGGAAGGTGCCTGAGTAGCAAGTTTTTGGTAAAGGTAAGCATTTTTTCTTTAGAGGGAAATTGATCTAGAGGATAGAGGTACTCTAGGGCAAAAACAAAATTCAGTTCCTTTGAAGAAGCAAACCTCTCAACCACTAAAGGCAACATTGTCAGGGACTAGAAGGGTGGAACCAAAAGTAACTACAAGATCAACTGTGACAGGGAATAAACCAAGTGGAAAAAGTACTGGGAAGGAAAATCTACCACAGAAGACCTCTACCAGGAGAGGCAAGGCAAGTAGTCATTGAACACAGATTCTTGTGCCCTGTTTGCACCAAACTGGTTTTTTCTGTGTTGGTTGAAATATATTTAAGTGCTTGATATTAATTTTCTTTCGTTAAAGTTTGTAATAAGCAGAGTAAACTCTATTCACACAAAATCTTGAATGGGGATGGGCCAGGGAGAGGGGGGTGGGGGGAAATTAACTGAGATGGGCTTGCCTTATGGGTAGGGGAATGGACTATGGGTTGAGAGGTCCTTATATGAGACTTGTTGTGTTCTTGGGCAAGACACGTAAATCTCATAGTGACCCTTTCTGCCCAGGAGAATAAACAAAAGGGGTTGGGGGGAGGGGTGGGGGCAGAGAATTAATAGGAAACCTATTATGACTAAACTAGGGGTGGTAACCTTCAGTGGCCTAGTATCCCATCCAGGGGTGGCTTCATGTGAGGGAGACTGGGATAAGCTCCAGAAGCTACGGTGGGTCTATTAAGTGCAAGATAGGAAACTCTGCTTTAACAATTATAGCTTAGCAGCCCTTCAAATGTTTCCTTGCAGTCCACTAAAAGCCAAGCCCCTTCCAAGCAGTCTGCTAGAGTGACACCAGCCCAGAAGGAAGTGTACCTTTCAAGTGTATATGGCCGCCAACCTCACCACCCACAGAGGACGACGTCTAAGGCACCATACCTGCACTACCAGTCTCCTGTCAACGCTAAGACAGCTGCAATAATGGCTGGGATCATGGCCGGTGACAGCAAGCTACCTGGAAAACCTGCTTTGCAGGATATGAGTTTCTTTCCACAGAGAGAATTTTCAGAACCTAGTGGGCAAAAAGCTGATGCCAGGAAACCTGAGCTCGGTTCTCAAGGGAAACCAAACAAACAAAAAGAAGACATGCAGTATTATTTTCACCCGAGGGTGGACTTGTCACAGGTTGGAGAGGGGGTGTCAAGGGTTGGCGTGCCATTGGAGGGACAATTAGTACCCATGGCTATACCCCTGGGGAAACCCAAGACTGATCCAGCATTACGACCTCCCGTTGTCACCCAACAGCCGCAAGACACAACTCAAGAAGAAGGTAATGTCCCACTTTTTTTAACTGGCCAAAATTGTCTCCCAGCTGGCAATAAACTATTCGTGGGTGTCACTTACAAGAGATGAATTGGTAAGAGGTGTGGTTTTGTTGCCGCGCCCATGAGAGTCTGCCTGCAGGTTGATATTCTTAGTTAGCAGCAATAGCAGCAAAGCTTGCACAGTTGTTATTGGACGTGATCGAACCATTGCCTAATTTTGAAAAAAAAAAAACCCTTTGAACGTGTAAAGTGTCGGTACCTTGTTTTTGCCACTTCTCCCTTTTTCTGAAAGCACTTCCTATAGCATGGACGACTATTTAAACTTTATTAGCCTTTTCTTTCTAAAATGACGCATAAAGTCACAAAGTTTGAAAATTAAAGGTCTAAAGCAAATTATTTATTTGAAATTTGTAGCAAAGGCAGAGAGCCCCTTACCAGATAGCAACTTATCTACTGACACATCTGAGGCCCATTCCCCTGTCCCCACTCCTGTGAGACCCAGTAGGCCTGCTCAACCAAATGTGGCAGTGATTACTGTGTATGGTAAGGAACTGGACGAGAACATGGACCATCAATACAAACAACACAAAAAGACGTCAGCAAAGAAGAAGCGAAACCCTCTGTCTGTCCAGGTTGGTGAACTGATATGGATTCTAAGGAGTATCTTTCATATCTTGCTCAAATCCTGTTTCTCTCTATGGGGATTATTCTACTTGGCACAGGCTCTTGATTAGCAAAGGCGTGCGAAAGAACGGGGAAGCGAAAAGCTGCGGTTGTCTCGCAAACGATTGACCCTGGCGTTTTTCAGGTACTCGCCATTAGGTTCGCTTCCACCATTGGAGAGCCTTACACAGGCCCGTCTTGTTGGACCAAAAAGCCGTTCCGTTTTGTAAACTTTGTCCTGTTTACTAGGGATAGAATTCTAACGAACGAGACTCAATCAAACCGTCTTATTCCGCTCTCGTATTCGCTTATTTACATCGGGTGTGTATAAAGCTACTCTGCAAAATCTGTAAGAGATCACTCTCTTATACGATATTCTCTACATTGTGATTGGTTGTTGCCGAGTACTGATTTAAAAGGTCATTCAAGGTTGCGTTGATTATGTTAACCGATCAATGTCCATAATGTTCATACTCATCATCTGACATGTGTCACGCACGAATCAAAGTCTCCGACACCGTAGACTAACACCAAAAAGATTATGTTAAGCCATGTAGGAAAGTCGAAACTTAAAAAACCACAGGCGAGGGAAATCTCAGCAAGCGGTTAAGAACATTTCCGCTGCATTTTGTTTCGCGCTCTTACAAAAAATATGTGCAAATTCTTTCAGAGTTATTTGTTTAACCGTAGGTGTTACCTAAAGTGGATATCGACAGTTTTTCAGAGGTTTCGTCATCTTCGTCGAGTTTGCCGTATGCCACGGTAAGTTTACATGCCTGGGATTAAGTGGTTGACATATAAGATTTACTTTCAATGTCAGTATCATGTAAGCAACTGATCAGTTAAATTTTTATTTTGTTTTTCGGAAGTATTTTAAGTACATTTTTAAAACTGAGGTACACTAACATATCCAATTTTCGTTTATGGATGATTAATTGCTAAAATCTTAAACAAAGAACTTGTCATGGTTTATTTCGAATCATACTCAACTATGATATCATCGGAATTGATACAAATTTTCTGATCACTGATGTCCTCCCTTAGAACATCCCAGAGCCTTTTTCCCGTCCAGATGATTCTGAGTACCAGGAGTTCAGGAACTTTTTGGCCGTCACGGAAACTGGGAACCAGGAAAAGGATGATGAACAGGTTTGAGTTTAATTCCGTTCGATTTCGGACAGTTCCGTCTCTGTTAACCTTTTCTCTTTCTATTCGCAGGCTCTTGATGAGGCAGATGATGACTTCCACCGAATTCCAACACCTCAGCACCCCTTGACACTAGAAGGATTCACAGAAGCACAAGATGGACCATACAATGGCCCCCCGTTTCCACCAGTACATCCTCCTGTTTCTGTGCAGCAGACAGGGGGGGTTCTTGAAGCTGATACTCGGCAACAGGCAGCTCTGGAAGAGAGAGCTATGGAATGGTAAAGTTGCCGATCCTGACCAAACTTGAGGCGACTGTGTGATCGTTTTAGAGATAAAAAGGACTTTTGGTCCTGAACTCGTGAACAAAACCATTCTTACTCTACAACCGCAGAGGAATCTTTAGGCCCTGTTCGAACCAATCAGATTCAAACTTATGCAGTCGTGAATTCCTGCGTTTCAAGAAGTTTCTCATTATTCAGCTTAAGTTCCCATTGACTCCTTGTATTGCTATTCTTTGATCTGATTGGCCATTTCGATTACGCCAGGTTTTGTGTCAAAACAACGCGTCATGTTGTATTATAGAAATGTTGATGAACTTGGCTTGTTAACCAATTAAACTTCTTCTTTTGTTAGGATTGAGCAGGAACTCTTGGCGCGTATTGTAAGTGAAATGAATCAACCAGTACCCGACCCTACCACCCTGATAAGGCCACAGGCCACCCCTGAAAGTAGCATTGTTTCGGAGACAGAAGATGAAGATGATGATGATGATATGCTTGGTGAGTACCATTTATGCTTCGTTAAGCTGAAGTAATCTCAACAACAAAGAAAAAGAGCCTTCAAAAATACTCAGTCTACAAGTTGTGGGGTGACCTATAAATGCTCCTGAAGTGTTAGACCTTAGGTGATGTCTTCGCACGCAATATTTGGCCCCAGTTGTTTAAAGGGCGTATAGTGCTCTCCACTAGATGAATCGCTATCCAGCGGATAAGAGTTAACAAAACGTATCAAGTGGATAGCGTTATCCACCCTACGAACTACAGAAGCATGACCTACACCCGTGAGTTTATCCCTCTCTCTATAGCATGAAAGCTGACTGTTGCTTCTCTATCCCAGATGGTATCAAACATGGACTCCCCGCCTC